GCGGGAAGACTTGTCGCGGACGAGCTCGCGAACTCGCGGACCTAGATCGCGGACGCGCGCGCTCCCTCGCCTCCCTCGCCTCGCGCGTCCCGCTCGCTCCCTCGCCTCGCGCGCCCCCCCCGTCATAAGGTCCTACTTCCCAGCGCGCGACATCGTCTCGGATCGGAGGACGTCCTCTGCGAAGCACGACGGCGCGCGGGTGGGCCACCGGCGACGTGGCGGCGGCCGCCGCCGCCGCGAGCCAGAGCGCGCGCGCCGCGACGTCCTGGCGACGACGAGAATGCCGAGCGGCGCGGCGGAAGCACGAAACTCCAATTCCAGCTGCACGTTTACCGCACGTTGCACGCTGAAGTGCCGAAGCGACTCGAGAGAGCATGGCGGCGCCGCGCTGGCTCGCGGGCCTCTGGCTCGTCGCCGTGGCGCGCTGCTCGGACGAGGACCGCGGCGGCCGGCGGCGGCCCGTCGTGCTCGTCGTCGCCGACGACTTCCGGCCCCAGGTCGGCGCCTTCGGCTTCGACGACGTCGAGACGCCGCACCTCGACCGGCTCGTCGCCGGCGGCGTGAGCTTCACGCGCGCCTACGCGCAGGCGCCGAGCTGCAACCCGAGCCGGACGTCGTTCCTCACGGGCCTCTACCCGGACGTCACGAAGGTCTTCTACTTCGAGGGCGTCGCGCACCTGACGATGGGCGCGCGCGGCGAGCTCGACGTCTTCACCCATTTGCGGTCCCACGGCTTCCTGACCTTCGGCGTGGGCAAGCTCTGGCACTGGGAGCCCGTGGGCCACCCCTTCTCCAAGGTCGGCGGGCCCTACTTCCCCGAGCCGGGCACCTACGACCAGGAGTGGGGCTGCGCCGACGGCGAGAAGGACGGCGGCCGCTGCGCGCCGACGTCCGGCCAGCCCTTCCTCATGGGCAAGGTCTTCCCGACGGACGACCCGGCGCCGTCGCTCTTCGACTACCGCGTCGCGTCGAACGCCGTCGCGAAGCTCCGCGTCGGCGCGGACGCGTACGCGCGCCAGCGGCGGCCGTTCCTCCTCGGCTGCGGCTTCCACCACCCGCACACGAAGTGGCGCGTGCCGCGGCCGCTCTACGAGAAGCTCAAGAAGCGGCGCCGCGTCGCGGCGCCGGACGCGGCGCGGCGGACCGTGGGCGCGCCCG